TCGAGGGACTAAAGGATCGATAGGCCACACTTTCATGGTTTGTATTCACACTGAAAATCAAAATCAAGGGGACTTTTACCCTTTTGTTCTACTGGAGATTTCTGTTCTCCATGAGTCCCCCTTAGGACACCTGCGTTATGGTTTAACAGATGTGCCGCCCCAGCCAAACTCCCCACTTGAAAAAAAAAAACATCTCTCTCCGCGTGAATCGAATTTTTGAAATTGCGCGCCCAGATCCGGCCGGAAACGGCTGTAAATTTAGCAGTTTATTCCTCGAAGCTAGCGCTATCGACTGATCCTAGTCTTACTAGGTGAAGTCATAGTAATGGCGGAGGGGACTGTTGCAACGCCTTTAACGGGCGAAAATCTCGTTCCGCAAGGCGTTCGCGACGAGACGGCACTACCACAAACACCACAAACAGCACTACACCGTGATTCCGCTGAAGCAGCGGATACGCCAAATACTGCGCAGATCAAAAATTGGATCCGTATCACTCTACGATCCGGGATTACGCGGATGGAGCAACTCGTAAAGCTGGCGGACCTGATGGTACGCCAGCTACGCAACCACCCCAACGATCAGCTGAATGGACTCCTGAGCCAAGGATTCGCGCAGCAGGTCAAGATCTTTGCCATCTCGCAAGGCGAGAGTACGGAAGCGATCACTCAATTCAAGGGGCTGCTTGAAAAGGTCCACGAGGATATTACCGCGATTCGTACAACGACTACGCAGATATCACAATCGAGCAATGGATCGGGAACGTCCACATCTGACTCCGCAATGCTCTGGAAAATGGTGCAAACGCAGGCCTGGCAGACCGCAATCCGCAGTGCGTCCACGCCTCAATCCCAAAGCGCCGGCTCATCCACCCCTGGAGTCAACCATGCGGAGCTGGGCATGGATTGCGAAATCGTGGTCAAGATTCGCGACGATTCGGAGCGCGCACTCGTAAAAAGACTCCAACCCAAGGACATCGTGATCCGTGCCGAGAAAGCGAGGGCTCACGCAGCGAAGAGCACTCCAAGCCTCGCTCTCGCTGGCCACGGATTCACCGCCGCACGTCAACTCCCATCGGGTGATATCAGCCTCCGCGCGAGCCATGCCGCCGGAGCCGAGGTCCTTCGCAAGCATTGCACGGGTTGGGTGCAGACCTTTGATTGATTGATTGATTCATACACGCATCTAAGCCTAATGTGGCCGGCGGCGCCTTCTAGTGGGCAGCGGGCGTACTACCATACAAAGAATCGAAATGCCAAGACCGGCTTGGCGCTGGCTGACTCAGCCCGCGCCTCACGAAAATCTCAACACGTATCACCAGCTTCAAAACAACAACAAGATGAACGAATAACAGAACGCTGAAACGCTAACAAAGGAAATATGTATACGTACCCAGGTGCAGGGGGATACGGAACGCTGAGGTCAACTAACTGAGTAGGAAAAACGTATAATGAGAGAACAAGCTGGGGTGTAAAAAGGGAAGATCAAAAGCGCGCCCGTGGTCATTGCTTGGTCGGGTCAAGTGGCCGATTCGCAGACGAGACGAATCGACAGAAACGTCTTCCTGAAAGAGATGTTGCACTCACTGAGAGCGCCATACTAGGGGAATTGTGTTCCGAAATTGGGTCAACAGACCTGTCCGTAACACGAATTCAATGCTTCTTCGTGTGACGATGCAATGCCAAATCTATTTGGTCGCTAAACACGAAGAGACTAAACTGGAGAGAAGAAGAAGAGAAAAGAACAACTACCGGCCCCCTTCCTCCTACTTATACTTCCTTCTACTCCGGATACCTGTGGGCTATCTCCATTGTGTGCCGGTGCCTAGTAATCTAGATTTCTGGAAGCTTCCAACAATGTAGAATACTGGCCGGCGAAGGCCATTTGCCCTTCTTGATATCATATATATCCTCCGGCAATCTGCAGCGTGAATCAAAACACGGGGTAATCCCCACAAGGCATATCTAGCCCCACATCTTCCCTGCATGTGATTCGTCCATGGGAGGCGGCCCGCGGGTACTTCCGCAGTAACCG